TTTTTTTTGATTATGTCGGAGTTCTTAATCTAATCCCTGATATATTATCCTTTTTTCAAATTTGAGATTCATATTGGCTTTTTCGTATGGGCCTCTTCCGAATTCGCAGATTTATATTGGCTTATCTCTTTCACTTTCTTACTTTGATTATGTCAAAAATCTCAATTTAATTTATGTATGTAGCTGACGCGATCTTCTTTTTTCCTCATCGATCAAATATTTAAAGGCCCAAAATTAATCTCTTGTACGATAAAGATCGACGCTGTTTTGATTATCTCGAAAATCTTAATTTATAATTCTTATTTCGACGTCCTCTCTCTTCCAATTACAATAACACTTCGAGCTGACTTGTTCGTCGTTCGGGATAAGATAACGTTGCTTTGATTATCTCCTCAAAATCATAATTTAATCACCATAGTCCTCATTTTCTAGCACAATATTTAAAAATCCGAATTTTTCTATTTCTTCTCGAGGATCGTCCAATCGAACGGTATTCGTTCCATCTCATTCTCGTTTCTTTCAATCTTCAAGTGGGCTGTAGCTGTCGCTATTTATATGCTGCGCTGGAAAATGTGCATTTTATTGCATGTTCCTTTCTTCCTGTGTGTGATTTGCTCTCTTTTTCTCTTTCTATATATATATATATATATATATATATAAAATATATCTAATTTATTCTCGCCGTACTGCATTACAGAACAAACGAGGAAACACGAAGCAAATTATATGCCACGAGTCGAGAAGATCCTGGAAAGTTTCATATGACGGAATCTGCAAATTATCTACGCTACAATTTTTTTAATTTCAACGATCATGACGCGAGAACTTCTAAATTCATACAAACAATTGTCAGAAATTATACTCGCTATTGAAAGACGTTCCAACTATCCAACTCGCGAAGTCGATGAACAAATCATTTGTGACTTCGATATTACAAATATACGATATTATAAATATCTCAAAAGATTCAGATATCGAAGATGGTAAACGTCAGGTAAATATCTTCAAATCTAGTCAGACGTGATTGGTGTATAAAAGTGATAGATCAAGAATTTAATCTAATTTTTTTTTTTTTTTTTTCCAGATAATGGGACGTCATAAAAGACCACGCGCTCTTGATTTCGACTTAATGGTCCCGTATAACGTGCTGATTGATATTAAAAGCTCCTACTATATATCGATCCAAACTGTATCGGATTACAAGAGGTAACGTAGCCCTATCGCAAGGATCCTCGCGACTCGCAGCAACGTATATGTACAGAGCGTATTTTTTATGTACACATGTACATATGTACACAACGTGCGTTTCGACTTACTGCTACGAGCAGATATATATATATATATATATATATTGGCCGAGGAGGGTTTGATCCCGATATCGCAAATAACAGACCGATCAACCCGGCAGTGGTATGACCCGAAAAATTTGCATTCCGTCCCTTCACCTCCTCCGGGGATTTTCGATTCGTGTATCATTTAAACTAAATTACAGTACAAATCGTGTATTTTTTTTTTTTATTGATTCGTTATTTTATTACCAAATAACATTTCCGCATGTGTTTCTGTATGTAACTTAATCTAGTCTATAATTTTTGTAACGCATTTTATATACTTGGTGTATATCTCTTGATCAAGAAATGTTTTTTTCAAACAAATATAGAGTTTGCGCAGATACACACGTAGACAAATGATCGAACTATATTCGGTACTATTTATTGTTCAAAATAATGGGAACATGATCTCGATATGCATTAATATATATGTATGTGTATATATATATATATATATATGTGTATATAATCGCCTTACTATATTATTATTTAAAAAAGAGCACCTAAGACAAATGTGTGAATATACCACTGCCGGGCTAAGAGCGGCTTATGAGCGATTATCGGCGGTAGTTTAGCGCTATTTTTCTCTTTACGTTAAGTGTGAAACGTAGTTCTCCTTCCCGGGAGGAATTCGAAAGATCGGTGTGAGATGTATGAGTGTGTTCTGTGTGGGTTGTTGTTGTTTGCGTCATGTCGTCATGAACGGATCAACAGCACGGCATTTTATATACGAACCGCAGGAACAAAAAAAAAAACCAACAAGCACACATTTTACGCACGAATGTGAGAAATTCAACTGGGAAAATGAAATTAAATCAAACGACGAAACGTGACGCGAAGAATAGGAGGAGTTCTGTTCCCTGAATCTCGCGTTCTCTAAGATACATATAATTTTGTTCCGCCGATCGCTCGAGCGTCTCAATAGCGGAGCTATATAATCCTAATGTTGTCTTTTTAATTTTTTTTTTTTTGCTCGGTGCAACAAGTGAATAAACAAAAGAAGAGTAAGAAATCAAGAAAAAAAAAACCAAGATTAAAAACATGGAAGGAAAACGCGAACAACTATTCTTTTCTCTCTTTTTTTTTGTGCGCCTAGCAGCATTTTTTTATCTTTTTTTCGTCCTTAATTTCATAGAATTCTTTTAAAACTTATGAGGTAGCGATGGCATTACGTGAATAATTCCTTCTCTCCTCTAATCCAACCCTCTCGCGCGCGATCACGGAGTGAAAAAAAGAAAAAGAAATTTGCTTCTTTATATATATATGGACTTTTTGTTCCTTCTCCGTGTACGCGCCTTTCTTGCTTTCTTTCTCTCTCTTTTTCTCGAAGAAACGGCTATTTTGGGTTTTAGTATTACTAATCTCGTCTCTCGATATATATTATGTCCAGCGTCCGATCGGTCACCCCGTCTCAGTGTTGGCAGTGTATGGACAGCCTTGAAATAGTTATTATCGCGAAGGAACGATCGATAGAGATCGCACCTTGAATCAAACCTCGGATCGCACGGTGGAATTTGATTCATCTCTCTTTTTTTCTGTGGAAGAAAAATGTATATCTTCTTTTCGGTATTAACCTGTTGCGTTTTCAAACAAACGATTGAAAAATTTTCGTCGTTTCTCGACAATGACATTGAAACAAAAGCCAAGTTGAACAATTTAAAAAAAAAAAAAAAAATTAATCGCAATGGATTAACACCTGTCTATTTTACGTCGATATTTCCTGGATCGTTTTCTACCGTGCGATCCGCTTTCCACGGACGTGATATCGCTCCTTAGCGTGTATAATCAGTCGCAAAAGTTCGGTAGTAAAATGAGACGAGGCGCACCTGCGCGGAAAACTGCGTACAAAAGAGTTGTCGCTCGATTTTTCTCCTCTCCATCTTTCTCATACATACATACACATATATTCTCACTCTCGCTTCTTACCTTTCTCTCTCTCTCTCTTTCGCTCACTCACTCGCTTCATTCGCCCGCTTCATTCGACGAACGGCTATTTTACGGGTTGCACATATAATCTGGCACGTCGACTAATCATCCGCCTCACATGTGTAATTAAGTTTAAGCTTTACATATATATATAATATATTATATATCTATGTACAACAGATGTATAGTGTGTATATGCGCTGCGTTAACTATGTATACATAGGTATATTTCTCGGGACGTCTCTCGGGGAAAGGGTAAATGCAGTGTAGAGAATAAGTTATATTCCGCGCGGCTCTGTTTCATAATGCCCATTATTGGCAACAATAGGATAATAATAGATAATACACCGGAAGTCCCTTTCGGGGCTTCCACCGTCGTCGTCCTACTATCTCTTTCTCCATTTTTCACGATGTCTCTTCTTAACATCCCTAACTTAGATCACCTTACGTTAATAAACGCCTTCTCTTTCTGTCTCTCATCCCATCTCCATCATCCGGAGGCGTATTATAATGCGCGCTTAAAAAGAGCTATACTATCTGTATTTAGTGATATCAACCTGTCACAGTAATAACAATGCCCAAGTGTGTATAATAAGGCCCTCGATTGCCGCCATGTGCCCGGTCCCAAAACCGTTCCCTAAAGTACCTATTTCATGGTTTTCTTCAAGCGAATTCTTTCCAGTCACGCACCAAGTATCTGAATAAAAAGAGAAGCGGAGCTTTCTTACAGCTGGTTTCGAGTAAAGCGATCTTATTCAACGAATCTCTGAGTTGATCGTCAAACCAAAAGTTTGGTAATATATATACTGTATATATTTTTAATTACTAATCAGAGACTTTTTTAGAATTGGGCTAAGTTACCCTTGACAACTCATTATTAAATTTCCGAAAACCTCTAATGAGAACTCCATTATTATCATGAGACATCGATCTGCAATTTATTCAGATACTTGTGAGGCCAATCAATGTCGTTGCATGAAGTTTCCGAAAAAGATAATCGTCGATTCAACAAGAGGAACAAGAACGCAACCGTCAGTTCGATCTCGTCCTCTCGGCGAAACGAGTTCGGAAAAAAGCGACAACTGCTCTCCCCCCTACCCTTGAAAATTTTTCCGGCGGCCCTGTAACACTATATCCTACATTTACTCCGAATCGCACATTTTACTTCCTCCGTAAATCAAAATCCTAATACTAAAGCCCAAAATATTTCATCACTTCTGGTCACGATCTACCACTTTACATGTTTCCATCATAATGTTTCCTCCCTCCCCCCCCAAAAAAGAAAAAAAAAAATTATGACGCAAACGCGATCCTCTCGTTCTCGAGGAGCGCGCGTCGCGTATCTAACATTAAATCATCTCTTATCGCTATATTATTACTCTTTCGCTCACTCACTCGCTTCATTCGCCCGCTTCATTCGACGAACGGCTATTTTACGGGTTGCACATATAATCTGGCACGTCGACTAATCATCCGCCTCACATGTGTAATTAAGTTTAAGCTTTACATATATATATAATATATTATATATCTATGTACAACAGATGTATAGTGTGTATATGCGCTGCGTTAACTATGTATACATAGGTATATTTCTCGGGACGTCTCTCGGGGAAAGGGTAAATGCAGTGTAGAGAATAAGTTATATTCCGCGCGGCTCTGTTTCATAATGCCCATTATTGGCAACAATAGGATAATAATAGATAATACACCGGAAGTCCCTTTCGGGGCTTCCACCGTCGTCGTCCTACTATCTCTTTCTCCATTTTTCACGATGTCTCTTCTTAACATCCCTAACTTAGATCACCTTACGTTAATAAACGCCTTCTCTTTCTGTCTCTCATCCCATCTCCATCATCCGGAGGCGTATTATAATGCGCGCTTAAAAAGAGCTATACTATCTGTATTTAGTGATATCAACCTGTCACAGTAATAACAATGCCCAAGTGTGTATAATAAGGCCCTCGATTGCCGCCATGTGCCCGGTCCCAAAACCGTTCCCTAAAGTACCTATTTCATGGTTTTCTTCAAGCGAATTCTTTCCAGTCACGCACCAAGTATCTGAATAAAAAGAGAAGCGGAGCTTTCTTACAGCTGGTTTCGAGTAAAGCGATCTTATTCAACGAATCTCTGAGTTGATCGTCAAACCAAAAGTTTGGTAATATATATACTGTATATATTTTTAATTACTAATCAGAGACTTTTTTAGAATTGGGCTAAGTTACCCTTGACAACTCATTATTAAATTTCCGAAAACCTCTAATGAGAACTCCATTATTATCATGAGACATCGATCTGCAATTTATTCAGATACTTGTGAGGCCAATCAATGTCGTTGCATGAAGTTTCCGAAAAAGATAATCGTCGATTCAACAAGAGGAACAAGAACGCAACCGTCAGTTCGATCTCGTCCTCTCGGCGAAACGAGTTCGGAAAAAAGCGACAACTGCTCTCCCCCCTACCCTTGAAAATTTTTCCGGCGGCCCTGTAACACTATATCCTACATTTACTCCGAATCGCACATTTTACTTCCTCCGTAAATCAAAATCCTAATACTAAAGCCCAAAATATTTCATCACTTCTGGTCACGATCTACCACTTTACATGTTTCCATCATAATGTTTCCTCCCTCCCCCCCCAAAAAAGAAAAAAAAAAATTATGACGCAAACGCGATCCTCTCGTTCTCGAGGAGCGCGCGTCGCGTATCTAACATTAAATCATCTCTTATCGCTATATTATTACTCATTAATCGTTATTATTAATTAAGAGAAGTATATCCTGCAACCTGTTTGAGTTCCGAAGTCGCGGTAGCGCGAATACATATAATCCAGTCGTCAGTAATGCGCGACGGTGTGTCGGGTCGAGAAACGATCTGGTTCTCCATGTCTCTTCCCTTTTCTATTTCCGATGTGCGGTAGTTATACTGCGTGTGGGTTTTGCGTGTATATGCACGCAGGGGGTTTCTTCCACTAGAGACGCAATTCCACGCGACCTCGACGAGCATCGACAAAGTCGACATTCCACAAACTACTATGCCTCGATCGATCTCTTCTTGAAAGATCTTTCAATAATTTTCTCTCATCGGTAATCGTGCCGAATCATGCATTTGACTTTGTTGCTCTTCGAAATTTATCGTCGAGGTAGGGGAAAAAAAATCTCTAATGTAATGTAATGTTTCTCGGAAGAACCCTGCGCTCTTGCGTCGTTCTTTTCGGATGATCGGACGTCTCATGATGGACGTGCTGCGATTCACGACTGTGGTTCTGCGATTGCTTGATCAATTGAAAATGACAGATCTCTCGTTTGTTTGACCCTTTCTCTATCCTTCGTCGTGAGTCTCTTCGTGGAAAGTCCCATGTACGATGCGAATCGCGTAGCTGTTACGCGTTAGACGCTTCCTTCTTTTTTTTTTTTTTTTTTTGTTCCCAGGCACGTTCTGCCATATTCTGTGTACTTTCTTTTCCCTGCGATTTCATTCTCGTAATTGAAATACGGTGCGCGTAATTATGTTGTCTATCCGTCCATCGTCACGCAGATCTCATTTGATGAATAATCTCCGGTTCAG